AGAGAGAGAGAGAGAGAGAGAGAGAGAGAGAGAGAGAGGGAAGAGAGGAATATTTATTGCAACGTTCTCAAAGTGATATCAAATTTGTTGGTTTATTATTTCCATCCCAAAATCTCAGAGTATTAGTACGATAATGGACAATGAAGATAGACCTGTAAGTACTACTATAAGTATAATATGCCAATGATTTACTTCATTTGAACATGAGTCGATTTTGAAGTTAACTTAAGAACCGGTGCTCTACCTGACTATAAAGCCTGTTCTTTTTAGCTGAATTTATCTTTTTTGCCTTTATATGCTGTGAATTGAATATTCTGCATTTTAATCATTTGAATTAAATTGTAAAACAAACATATTATACTGTAACATTTAATTTTTGTAACAAATCAATCGTTTCTGATAATTTTATAAAAATCCCTCAAAACTAGCCCGAACACTTAATATTTATTATTTTTCATCAGAAATAAGAAACTAAATTTTTTTTATCTTTATAATTATTTTGAGATTTTCTATATACATTATCCCATATAGCACACTTTATCTTATGAACATCCTGTGGATGTCTTTTGGACGTCTTCTAGACATCTTTTGGATATCCCTTGGATGTCTGTGCTGTATGGGATGAAAGGTAGACTTGAAAAATTCCTTACATTCATTAAATGTTTCAATTCGTCTTGTATTAAAATTTATAATGTATTATTTATTATACTACATTTCTTCATATTTTAACGACCTTATATAATTTTGTTTCAATTTATTAGGTGCTTTGATGATATGCTTTGAAAGCAAAGACCTAACACTATGTGATAAAATTGCTAGTGCTTGGCTTGCGAATGCACCGTGGCGTAAAAGAAATGATAACAGAGTGCACTAGGCAACTGATGATTTTCAATCAATGACGACGAAGAAGAAGTAATCACCTCAGTATTTTCAAATAGATAGCAAGGAAAATGACGAGCAACACAAGTCTACTAAATACCATAAAAAATCCAAGTTAAACCTTTCTTATAATTTACATAACTTATAAGTACAGTATTAAAAAGTCCATAATTCTACTATTATATGTGCTTTGTTATACTAATTATTCACTAGGAAATCATTAATATTTTGGAGTTTAGAGATTCATTTAAGAGTATTATTTTCTCTAAGTCATGAAATAGACTGCTGTGATTTCAGTGCAACGTACTTTATTGATAGTAATTATTTTTTGTAATTATTATTTGTAATTATATACGAATTATTTAATTGATAGTAATTCTTTATTGCTTTTTTAGAAATATTTTAAGGCTCTTGGTCCTTCGCTGCAATTGGTCTTGTTTAATGACGTCAGAGACGAGAAAACACATGTCAAAAAATACTTGCGTTATTTAACGTTCAAATTAAAAGATACACTCATAAAAAGGCTTTTGTGATAAATTTAGCATACTTGTAAAATTGTCTGCAAACTTTTCTGTTACTCCTACAATCATCGATCTAAATAGTCGCAAAATTAACTTGACATAAAACCTTTTTTTTGTAACCTCCCCAGACATCATGTCTAAAATCGGGACATAAGACGTCTAAAAGACTTCTTTAAGACGTCTTACAGTCGTTTTACAGTCGTTTTTAAGTAAAGCGTCTGATAGACGTCTAATGTCCCGATTGTAGACATTATGTTGTCTGGGTCTTTTCTCACGATTTTGGACAATGTTATTTTTATGACTATTTATTGATTGTCGAGTAAAGGAGAAATGTTCGGACAATTTCACAAGTATACTGAATCCATCACAAATGTCATTGTGTGAGTAAATCTTTTTGTTTAGTTCGGTTCTACATTCGGTGTTTTAAGTCTTAAGACCGAAGTCTTAAACACCGAATGTAGAACTGGACTTAAACGTTGCAATTCTTTGTATCTCGCTTTTGACGTCATAAAAAATCAATTATTTTACAGTTAATTTAAACATCAAACAGTTGTAGCGAAGAACGGAAGCCTTATAATAGTTACAAATGTGACGAGACAATACAATTTATGCATTTGTTATACGTTAACGAGGAAAATTTACTTTATGTGATGTCACATATTTAAAAGTGTTATTGTTATAAGTTAGTAAAATATATAGAGATTATTTTGAAGGTTGCTAGCCGCTGACATTCTGACGACTGACCTGCTTCTCGACCTGCGTGTACGGCCGAAACTTAATAAAAGCATTTGCACGATTACGTTCTCCTCCAGGACGTTACACATGATTAATATGATTTTAGTTTATTTAGTTAATATGTTATTGTAGTTTGTGCTTTGTGACTGAAATGTCCTTGTTGTTCCTAAGTAAACTTTCTGTACTTTTTTTTTTATAATAAAACATTACTTGATATACTAAAGTCTCCATAATTTACTCCATAATTTACTCCATAATTTACTCCATAATACCTTTCACATCAATGTCGATTTGATGTCAATTTGATGTCAATTCGATATCGATAAGAGGTCGAAACTGTGACCACCAGAAGATCGAATTGATGTAATAATCGATGTATTCTGATGTAGCTATTTCGATATCAAATCGACATCTTTTCGATCAATCATTCCTCACTGGGTTGTCCAACTATTTTTATTAATATCTCGAAATTTTACGTGGTTGTTTGAAAAATTATCTCTACAATTTTTGTTCATTTTTATCTGTTCTACTTATATTTTTCTTTTGGCACGTCTTACGCGGGACATCCTGTATACGAGCGTTTGCATGAAAAGTTTCAGACACCCTGCATATAAAGGGTGATTGACCATCCTATGCCGATAGAACGAATCGTGTTGAATAGAAAAGTCATATACCATTTTATAAAATTCGCAATAGTTTATAAGAAATTAATCAATATGTCTCAGCTAATCAGCGCACGGAAAACAGTAGGTTGGACGTGTAGAAAGAAAGATGTTTCCGATCAGCGCGCGACCAAGACACTCGTGAATCGCTGCTCGCCGCGTTCCTCCGCCCATAGCTATGAGATATGACAATGCGAGATACATATGCGTATGTATTAGAAACACGTCTCTCGCTATCTGTTAATACCTATCGTTACTAGGAGATCTTCAGAAATAAGATATTTTTCTTCAGACAGTCTGGCCTACCGCTTCTCATGCGCTGACTAGCTCATACATATTAATTAATTTCTCGTAAACTATTGCAAATTTTATAAAATGGTATATAATTGTTCTGTTCAGTTCTATCCGTTCTATCGGCATAGGATGGATGTCGAGTTTATGGTTAATTACCCTGTATATTACACACACACACACACACACACACACACACACACACACACACACACACACACACACACACACACACACATATATATATATATATATATATATATATATATATATATAATACTGCAAAATACCATCTTAATACTTTTATACGTAAAATTGCAAGTAGAATAAATCGCCATCAACAAACAAAAAAACTTAATAGAATATTCGTTGCATATTACAAATCATTGATGCACTAATATTGGTATCAGTAATCGATTTCTTTTATATTATTATGTACAAAAGTGTGAACGGGATTCGATAGTCCACATCGATGATTAGCTAATTTAATATTAATAATTGTCTCATTGGTGGTCCAGCGGAAAAATTTTAGGCATCGGTCGATGTGAGTGAATGTATGCTATTGTATCGTGCGCTAATGGGATCTACTCCTAAAGATAAGATGTTATCAAAAAGTGAATACTTTATAAGATATTTCATGTTTTTCTCTCCCTCTCTCCCTCCCTCCCCCCCCTCTCTCTCTCTCTCTCTTTCACTCTCATACTGAAAAAATATCAGAGTAAAATGTGAAATAACTCAAAAAGTATTTATTTTTTGAAGATCTTACTCTAATACTTTTATATGAAGAATGAACAAAGTAATTGATTTGTATCAGAAAACTATATAATTTTATTAAAAAAAATTAAGTTTATTTTTATTTCACTTTGACACTCCATTCGATGGTCAAACACTATAATACGCTCTCTTTAAAAACCTACAGTTATGTCTAAAACACTTTTTTTCATTTTCTTTATTTCTTTTTTATATTTAGACGTCTCAATATAAATGCTCCACCTTGCATAACTGTATCAATCAGACCATTTCGGTGCATTTCAGCATGTACTTTAACATAAAATTTTACCATATTTTTTCATATTTCTAGTCTTTACTTTTGTATTTAAATATAAAAATTTATTAATTTATCAATTTCCTTTTTTTTATTAATTTATTAATTTCCTTTTCTTTCAGTCTGTATTGCGTAAATGGCGAAAACTACATCTTTCTAATTACCACAAACAATACTTTCAATGACTATGACATTGCCTTTGCTACCACCAGATATGTTTCAAGAAGCTTTATTAATAATACAAGCTGAAGCTGATCTAATTGCGAATTGTTATCCAAATATTTTACAATTCATGTCCTATTTAAGACTTACTTGGTACTAAATATGGCAACAAAAATTAGTATCTATCGTTGTCCTGTACATACTAACAACATAGTGGAAAGTTTCCATAATATTGCAGTGCAGAAACTAGGAACGAGGAATATTAACGTTTGGACGTTTTTAAGTAATGTTTATATCGAACAATATTATCAGTAGAGTACAGAAATTTTTTTACACTGTTTTCTCTGTCTTTCCACAGATAAATTATCGAATTTAATTACTGATCAAGAACTAGATTTACGCCGCTTAAAAAATGGTGTTAGACCTCGACGACCTCGCACAAGAACAAATAAAGAATTAGATACTAAAATTATTAATGCGCAAGAGGATCTAGTTAATCAAAGGTATTATTTTATAACGCGCGCGCGCGCACACACACACATATTGAATCGAGTAACAACTAAATTAAATGTTACACTTTAATTTTTTTCAGGTTGTCACTGAGAGAGTTTTTATTAACGTTTACCACAAACATTAATATCTGTTCTATGAAACAAATGCTATCATTTGAAGGTAAATATACCAGGTCTGTAAATATGAAACCGGAATTTACCCATAGATGGCCCTAGCTGTCAATGTAGTTACCGTCAAACCGCGTCATTGGCGCCATTTCCTTGTTGACATCTCTGACAAAGATTTTCAACTCACAACAATACAAGTTTCATACAACAGCATAGTTTGTAATAGCGTTGAACATGTCGAATTTTGTGCCTGGAAACTACGATTTGCGGACAGCATTGATTTTCTGTTACCATTTGAAGAAAACTGCTGCAGAATCGCATCGAATGCTTGTCGAAGCTTACGGTGAGCATGCTCTTGGTAAATCACAGTGCTTTGAGTGGTTTAAAAAATTCAAAAGTGGCGATTTTGACGTGAGAAACGAAGAACGTGGAAGACCACCGAAAAAGTTTGAAGACAGCGAATTGCAAGCATTGTTGGATGAGGATGACACTCAAACGCAACAACAACTCGCGGATCAATTAAATGTGACACGAGAAGCCGTCTCCATACGTTTGAAAGCCATGGGAAAGATCCAGAAGATGGGAAAATGGGTTCCACATGAACTGAATGAAAGACAGCAGGAAAACCGAAAAACCACTTGCGAAATGCTGCTCGCCAGGTACAAAAGAAAGTCATTTCTCCATCGAATTGTGACTGGCGATGAAAAGTGGATATATTTTGAGAATCCTAAGCGTAAAAGATCATGGGTAACTCCAGGCGAACCATCGACATCGACTGCAAGGCCAAATCGCTATGGACGGAAGACAATGCTCTGTGTTTGGTGGGATCAGAAGGGTGTGATCTATTATGAGCTGCTAAAACCTGGCCAAACCGTTAATACTGAACGCTACCGACAACAAATGATCGATTTGAATCAAGCTTTGCGTGAAAAACGACCAGAATATAAAAAAAGGCAACACAAAGTGATTTTGCTTCATGATAATGCACCATCACACATAGCAAAACTGGTTATGGAAACGATTGAGGCGTTTAGTTGGGAAATACTTTCGCATGCGGCTTACTTACCAGACTTGGCTCCGTCCGATTACTATTTATTTGCATCGATGGGACACGCACTTACTAAGCAGCGCTTCACTTCTTACGGAAACGTACGAAAATAGCTCGATGACTGGTTTGCCTCAAAAGAGCAACAGTTTTTTTGGCGTGGCATCCACAAATTGTCAGACAGGTGGGAAAAATGTATAGCTAGCGATGGGCAATACTTCGAATAAAATATTTTTTATCATTTTCATACAATAAACGTGTATTTTCTATACAAAAATTCCGATTTCATATTTACATACCTGGTACATACTTGGTATTAAGTAATATTTAACTATACTATTATAATATTTACTGCACAATTAGGCACAACTAATATTAGTTAAATTTTTTTAATTCTAACCAATTGAACAATTTAATTAATTTATGTTCAATTGTAATTTGAACAACTGAGACTTTCCTCTTAAAATATTATACAGGGTGACCCATTTTAATTTACCATCCTCAAAAATTGTTTTATTTTTTATTTTGAAAAAATAAAAATTGCTCGATTTGAAGGGGGACAAATAATGATACAATCAATTTTAAAAGTCAACTTTTCAAGGTCACTTTCACTTATAAATAGAATGATATGATTTTTCTTACATAATACCTCTGATATATACCTTATATGATACCTTTGATTATTTTGCATATAAAAGTATGAAGGTAATACTAACGAAACGTCAATAATTTACGAGATATTTTATATTTTATTCTGATACATTCTGACATAAAGTATAAAATATCTCACAAAATATCCACTTTTCAATAAACGTACCTTAATATTTTGATGCACAGAATAATGAGATGAATTGATTTATCTGAAGATAAATTGACATAATTGTATCAAATAATATGCAATTGCATTTTGCAAATTATATATTTTTTAAATGAATTGTCTTTTCTTTAGATAAATCGATCCACCTTATTATTCTGTGCATGAAAATATTGAGGTACATTTACTGAGAAGTGCATATTTTGTGAGATGTTTTATGCTTTATGTCAGAATGTATTAGAACAGAACAGGGCACACGTTGTACGTTTCGGTCGATTTTCGGCTCGGATCCATCTAGCGCTATTCTCCTTACCTCATCGCTCCGCGTACAGTCCAAATAGCACTCGACACTCAGGAACGTATAACGCTCGTAGACATTTTCAATATATTTCAATATCATCCATGAGATAATTACTCGTATAAATCATTAGTGAAGTATGACTATTCAAGATATCACTTAAAAGCCGGACAACAATATTTTATGAAACACGTGAAAATTTAGTAGAAATCTATATCTGCGAGCGTCATACCATTGTGAATTTTGCAAATTCACAAGTATGCAAGTTTTCCATTCAGTTTAACTCATTCTATCAGCATACGAGCGCACGTACAACAAGTTTCAGCCTGTATACACACACACACAGACAAACGCATGCACGCGCGCCTGTGTGTATGTCTATAATATTTATAATAAAAGTTACAAATTCTTTGATATTCTATATAAAGAAAAATTATTAACTACTTCTCCCTTTCAGATGCTACGTTAACAGATGTTGATGAATATATTGTAGACATGTAGTTTTTCTCAGATAATTTCAACGAAACCCTTCAAACAAGTTAGTATTTCTGTTTTACTTTTGTTCATAATAAGATTATACATTCCAAATTAAGATTACTTTAAATAATAATAATAACTTGTGGAGATATTTAATTAGGCCAGCCGTTGTTTGGCCCTCCACTATAATTTAAGAGAATTCGGGAAATAGCTCCGTGGACAGGAGAAAGCTCGGGTCGCAGTAAAACACTAGCTCCCGATTCAGCAGTACACGTCGTCAAAGTTTATTACGCGATACAAAGGAGACGAACTCACACATGAACAAAAGACACGGTTGCGCAAACAAACAAAGTCACGCTGATGTGGCAAGGACACAGCGTGGAGAAACGCTTGTGATTGGCTGAGGCGTCTGCCCTCAGCCGATCACGTGAACAGCCGAGCGAGCGCGCACGTGAGCAAGGGCAGGTAGCGCGGCCTGTACACGTGGCCTACTGAACTTGCACTCAAGAGTGATGGCGAGAAATGCACCTGCCTCCGCTACACGCGGCGTCCGGGCTCAAGGGCGGCACGATGCGCCCTGAGCCTTGATGGCCCTTGCAACGCACACACACTCTCACAGGGCGACAGCACCCGATGACGAAGACGAGAGCAACCGGCACGCTTGGCCGATCGCGGCACAATAAAGCGCGAGTATGACGTAACGCGGTAACGCAGGTTCGACACAACGCGGGTTCGACGCGGGTACGCGGGTTCGACGCGGGTACGCGGGTTCGACGCGGGTACGCGGGTTCGACGCAACACAGATTCGACGCAACGCGGGTTCGACGCAAGAACGCGGGTTCGACGCAAGAACGCGGGTTCGACGCGGGTACGCGGGTTCGACGCGGGTACGCGGGTTCGACGCGGGTACGCGGGTTCGACGCAACACAGATTCGACGCAACGCGGGTTCGACGCAAGAACGCGGGTTCGACGCAAGAACGCGGGTTCGACGCGGGTACGCGGGTTCGACGCAAGAACGCGGGTTCGACGCGGGTACGCGGGTTCGACGCGGGTACGCGGGTTTGACGCGGGTACGCGGGTTCGACGCGGGTACGCGGGTTCGACGCAACACAGATTCGACGCAACGCGGGTTCGACGCAAGAACGCGGGTTCGACGCAAGAACGCGGGTTCGACGCGGGTACGCGGGTTCGACGCAAGAACGGATTCGACGCGGCCACGTGCGCGGCACGTGCGCAACACGTGGACACCGGAATCGTCGGCTGCGGAACGGCAGCCCTCAAGGGCCTCTGTCTCGCTGGCTGGGCCAGACACCGGGCGCCCGCACGCACACGCTGCACCCGAACACGGGGTAACGTCGAGCGCACCGCAAGAGACACCACGATGCTCGGCACGTACATCGGCCGAGACAAAGGACAATGCTAGCGGAACGGACGGAACGAACGAACCTGCCACGCACACGCCGCGAGAACTGAAGAAGAACTGATAAAACAAAAGCGCCACGCAAGCAC